TCCAGCTCAACAGCCGCTGTGAGCTAGTAAGAAAGGCCTCAGGCACAGGTGAGGCCCATCAGGGATGAGCAGCACCCCTCCCAGGACCCCTCCCAGGGCCTACTGTGTGGGGTGCTGCATTCTGCTTTACGGGGTGATCACTGCCCCTTTGAGGATCCGGTGATGTGGGCAACAGTTACTGTGCTCACCACAGGTTGCATGGCTGGTGTCGTCAACGGGCTCAGGCCCTCTGACCCCTGACCTAGCTCTTGTACCCTCCCATCTGGTCCTGTCTGGCCCCGTGTCATCCACGTGGTCCCCCTAAGCCAGAGCTGGGGTGACCCTGCCGGTACGTGAGGATGGCCATCAGCCCTCGCAGCCCAGCTCTCCCTGACGGTTGGAGACGTCTCGGACGGCGAGGCGGCCTGGTGCTCTGAGAACAGCTTCACCTCTGACCACGGATGGGGGGGCGGGGCCACTGGTAAGAGGCTGGGAGCGGGCGGCAAGGACAGTGTTTCCTGCCTCGGCTGAGGACACCTGCACCGTCACCAGGGCAGACTCTGGGTCAGGGGGAGCCGGGACTCGTCCGTAAATCAAAAGACACCAGTGAGTAAAATCGAAGGGCAAACAGCAAATTGGGAAAGGTGGCCTGGGACACACAGCGGGTAGAAGGGACCTTTATGAGTCAGTCGGAAAAACGTGAAAACTCGTCTGGGAAGCAGGCGAAGGAGGGAAGGGACAGTCCCTCCGCAGAAAGAGAAGGCAGCACGAGGCGGGAAGAAATAGGCCTGGCACCAAAACCAGAGAAACGTCAGTGACGGCAGCGAAGGACCCCACATCTGCTCTCGAGCCGAGGAAGCCGCCGGGCACAGTCACAGCCAGGGTGGCACGCGCCGAGGAAGACACTCTGACAGTGAGCGGCCGAGCCTGAAAGACTCCGCAGCTCTGCTGTGGCCATTCTGCCCCTGAGGATAGATTCTAAAGAAACCGTCCGAGGGGCGGACTCGAATCACGAGGGAGAGTGACCCCCGGGCTAACTTAACAAGCAAAAAAGTATGAAAATGGGGAAGCATAGAATAAATTAGCGCCCGTCCCCACAATAGAGTAAAATTCTACAAAAATCATGTTTTCAAGATATTTGGTGGAAAGGAAAACAATAAAACTGTTCACGAGATTTCGCATGGCTTTTATTTCCGTCCTTTATTCTTGTTTAGGTTTTTGTACATTTCTACGATAAATAGGGACCGTGTTGAGCATTAGACAAATGAGCGAGTCAGTGTTATTTTCTCAAGAAGGCAGAGGTAGGTCCGCAAAGGAGAAGGACGCACGGGAGGCGGCGGGTGTCCGCGCCCTACGGAGCGGCTTCTGCGGGCCCCGAGAGCGCAGCAGGCTCCGGATGAGGCGGGGACCCCAGACAGGCAATGACGGCGTTTAAAATGGGCTAACTTTCCCCAAAGGGGCTCATCTGTGGGCACCAAAAAGGCAAGGAAGAAGGCCGTGGAAAGACCCCTCTGCTGAGGACTGTGGCAAGGGCGATGTCCCGCCACCCTGGGCAAGCTCCACGGGGACTGGCCCTGGGGAGTGCCGCAGGGGACCCCGCTCCAGGATGCCCCGCTGCCGGCCTAGAAGGCCCCCCCCCAGCCTTGCCCTTCCATCTGGGGGCTCCGCTCTCCTTGTCCGGGAAGGCACACCCCAGATGTCCCCAGGGCAAGCAGACCTGTGCGTCTCCCTCATGGCACCGTCTCGAAGCGTGATGCCGAGGCCTGCGGCTGGTCCTGCGGGCCCCCGACGCGGGCGGGAGGCTCCTGAAGCAGGGCTGCACCTGTTCCCGCCAGCGGGACACACAGCAGGGGCGGCAGAAGCACCTGCCAGACGGGCAGGCCTCACGGCCAGATCAGGACGCTGGCTTGTCACCGGCGAGTGACAGTGGCACAGGGCCGCGGGGCAGGCTGGCTTGTGCTGCGGGAGCTCTGAGCCAAGGCGGATGCCAGCCTCTCCGGGTTTGAGTTCGTCCATCCCGCCTTGAGCCCGGGGCCGTCTCCACGGCGAGAACTCGCGCACGCTGACACCACCGGCCCGATGCCCGGAACGCGTGGCCGTGTCTGGTGAACGTTCTGCCTGTGCTGGACAAAGGGCCAGCCTCGTTGCCTCTGTCCTCACGTTCCACCAGGCTCCACGAGGTCGGGCCGCCTCCCTCTGGCCCCTGGGAGGGTGTCCAGGGCCTCGCTCAGCCACCTGGGAGCCAGCGTGTGATGTGGACGAAGGACGCTGCTCCAGAGCACTGCCCAGGGATACAACAGGCGCCGCCTGCTGACCCGGTTCCAGCAGCCGGGGCGCAGCACTGGGCCCTGGAGACCGCTGTCCAAGGTGCTGACTCAAGCGCAGCCGTCCTGATAACGTGGCCATCCTGATAGCCCGGCCACCGGCCTCCTTCGCCCTTCTCAGACCCTCTGCACCTTTTGGAAGTGCTTCCCTGGGAGACGGGGCCATCCCTCGAGGCCACCGAGGGGGTCCTTGTCCCTTTTCTCAGCTTAGCTTCGGTGTTTGGGGCCTGGGGAGCTGACGGTGTGATGTGACGAACAGTGCCCTCGGCAGACGAGTCAGGAAAGCAGGAGGTGTCCACGGGCCGTCACCTGGTCAGGCAGCAAGGGAAGCGGGTGCAGGTCAAAGGCTAAAATCCACGTGTCCTGTCAAACAGCTCGTGGTGGCTTCTTATCAGCTGTGCGGAAAAGCGAGTCACTTCCCGATGACCTGGGGGCCCTGAGGGAGAAGGCATCCAGCAGGCTGGGGACACACTCACAAACGGCACGAAGCTGCTCACTGCGGCAAAGTCTGGAACAACCCGAGGCCGGCAGCAAGGCCTCAGTACGCGCCAGTCCAGGCACGCAGCAGGGTCCCACGCGTCCAAAAGTTACAGTGGTGACATCTCTAGAAGCTATGATGGACAGGTCTCCAGGCTCGGTCAGGGAAGCTAGGGAGACAGGACTGCTTGCAGGACGAGGCCCCTGCCGAAGAACGGGAGGAGGAAAACCATGCACGCACCATGCGCGCATGTGCATGTGTACACGCGGGTGTACATGTGTGCGTGTGTGAGTGCGTGCGTACATGTGTGTACATGTGTGTGCAGTATATGTGCGCATGTGTGTCTGTGCGTATGTGTGCGTATGTGTGTACACACATGTGTGTATGTTTGTGTGTGTATCTGTGTGTGTGTGTGTGCATCGGCTTCTATTTTTCAAATTGAAGGATGAACCATAAAATATTTAAAAACTGTTACTTTAGGGCAGGGGGAGAATGTGGCTAAGTGACAGAATTCTCTAGGTACGTCTTACTTTGTAGCTCTGACCGGGAACCACGCAAACACTTCACGTAATTACAACACTAAATCGAGTCGCGTGCAATCTCTACACATCCAATGCTAAATGGAACAAAGTAACCGTCGTGAGTAAAGCCAGGGGCACGACCTCAAAGCGAGAAGGACGTCAAGCGAGCTGAAAGCAGTCACTTCGCCCCATGTTCCTGAAAACAGCCTTAGCCACCCACGGTGCTGGTGCGCAGGGGGAGAGGCCGGGGCCAGGACCACGTCCGGTGCGAATGCGAACCGTGGCCCCTTCGGGGCGCAGCCGCCGGCGCCTGGAACTGCTGAGCCACGCGACCCGGCCGCCCCGCGCCTACGCCCGCCCGAAAGAGCGAACGCCACGAAGGGCCACGAGGCGCCGTTCCCAGCAGCCGAAGGCGGGAAGGACACACACGCACTGACGGACGGATCCCCATGTGGCCCGATGGGGCATCATCCAGCCACAGAGAGGGAGCGCGAGTGTTCGCTACGCCGCGGACGAGCCTCGAAAGCATGACGCCCAGGGAAGGAAGTCAGATGCAAAAGGCCACGAACTGTGTGACTCTGTTCATACGACACGTCCAGAGTCGGCCCATCTGTGGGGCCAGAAAGCAGACTAGTGGTTGTCGGGGGCCTGGGTGTGGCGACAGACTCCACGGAGAAAAGGCCGCGGCTGGCCACCGGGCCGCAGAGCACCGGGGCTGTGCATGGGAAAAGGAAGAGCCCTCCCACCCACAGCGGCCTGGCCAGCTCCTCGCACACACCGCCGGGGGACACGGCCAGAGAGGAGGCGGCGGTGGCTACACGGCCCTGCACCCAGAGACCACTTCCCCGCGTGTGAAGACCTCTCCCCCCGGCGAGGCTCTCACTCCCACACACCTGTCCCCTCCTGCTGACCACCCCGGTCCTGCCCCGCTGACCACCCCTCTGTGCCCGGCTCCCACACGTCCTGGCAGGGGGCTTTGTCCGGCCTCCTGGACACCCTCTCCCGCCATCCTACCACCTCCGGGTGGACATGGCCAAAGCCAGGGCAGGAGCCTTCCCAGGCAGGGTCCTGGTGAGAGGCCCAACAGTGGTACAGCCAAGTGCGAGCCTCCGAGGTCACGGACACAGGGGCCCCTCTCTGGTGTCAAGGACAGAGCGGACACGTGCGGGCCCTGGCTCACTGAGTCTGCCTGGTGCAGGTAAGTCCGGCGTGTGGGGCGGAGGCAGGAGAACAGCCTCAAGGCCAGGGAGACGTGCGGGCACCTGGGCCCCGCAGCCCTGCAGCCCCGCCCTTCCTGGTTGGCCACCTCTGGGAGCCTGCCAAGGGTGGTTGCAGGCCCCAGCTGTCCAGGGGGCCACGCACACTGCTGAGGGTCTGGGCAGCGACCTGCAGCCCCGTTCGAGCCAAGCGGCCACGTCGGAGGTGTAGGTGCCAGGCCCAGGCCACAGCGAGGAGGGAGGAGACATGGAGGTGCCCACTCAGCACTGTTCACCCACAGACCAACCACCCTGCACCGGGCTGGGCCGCCGCGGCAAACGGGGGTGGCCTGAGGGCCTGGTACTGTGCCCGTGTCACCTTGTCACGTGAAAGGTGCCCACCACTCCAGGAGACCACCGGGAACATTCCTCTGCAGCTAGTTCCCCAGCCGCACCCCCGTCCCCGCCCACCACACACACACCACGCCTGAGGGGCCCGTGGGGAACACAGCCAACGTCACGCGCCCGACGCCGCAGAGAGGACGGACCCCGTGGCCACAGAGGCCCTTACCTGGGGCCCGAGGGCCGCCTGCTGTCCTCCCCAGCCTCGGGGTGCTGCCCGCTGTCCTGCTGTCCGCCCTTGGACTCCTGTTGCCTTGGGCCTGCACCCCCTCCGTGCGGCTGGTCTGCCGAGTCCGCTGGAGGCCCTGAGGTGTCGAGGCACTTGCTGGAAGTGGGGGCGTTGGGCTCCTGCCTGTCGGGGCCGCCTTCTGAGGGCGGGGGGGCCGTGGGCGCCCCCGGGCAGCTCCAGGGCCGGCCGGGCCTCCTCCGGCCTCACGGGCCCGCCCTTGGTGCCGGCCTTGGCAGAGCCCACGTGACAGGCGCGGATGACGCCCCCGGGGCGGCCTTTGTCGGGCAGACTCTCGGCCGCGTCCTCCCTGCCGCCCCCACAGCCCCCGCAGCACACGCAGGAGTTAAGGAGGCAGTTGGTGGCCGTGGAGCCGGGTTCGCGGGGGCCCCGCTCCGGGCCCTCGGCCCTGGGCTCCGACGGAGGGCTGCTTCCGGGGGCTTCCGGGCCGGCGGCGTCCAGGGAAGTGGGCGGCTTGGGGTTGAAGATGACCGTGGCCGAGAGCTTCATGCCCCCTGTCCGCTGTGCGATCGCCTCGGCCATCTCGGCGGCGTCCACGGTCCCCTCCCAGCCGTCCAGGCAGCTGCAAGCGTTGGGGCCGGTGGGCGGCATTTTGTCGTCCTGGATGTTATTGTTGTTGATCAGGTCCCCATCCTCCCCGCCCTGTGCTCTGCCCAGGGGGTCGTCACTGGCCCTGGCCGTCCACCCGGACGGGCTGCCCGGGGCCTCGGCCGCTGCCTCCACGTCGTCCATGAAGAACACCCTGCCCTCCTCCTCGTCACTGCTGGGCTGTGGCTGCCCGCCGCCCGGGGCCGCCTGGCCTCCGGGGCTGCCCTCAGGGCCGGGCCCGCGGGCGGGGGACTGGCAGGCGCTGGGCGGTGACAGCAGGGATGACATTTCGGCCCCGGCCCTGTGGACCATGCGGTTGAGCTGCTCCAGCTCCTGGTCGTCGTACTGCATGGAGCAGGCCAGCTCCGCCTCCGGGAGTTTGGCCTTGGCCGACAGCAGCTCCTCGGGGGGCAGGGGCGGGGGGAAGGCGGGCGCCAGGGCGGGGGGCACCTGCGCATCGGCCCGGATGGGGAACTCCGCGTCCTGGGAGACGCAGAGGCTACGTTCCAGCGTGCGCAGCTCCTCGTCCGTCAAGGTCTGCAGCAAATCCCTGCAGGGGGCAAGACACAAGCGTGTGACGGTCCCAGCGGCCACCCCGGCCTCCGGGAGACCATGTGCGCCACTGAGTGCTGGTGACAAACGTGGAGCACTGGCAGCCGCCCCCAGCCTGGCGGCAGCCTGCCCCCCCACCCTCGGAACACGAGGCATTTTCATCGTGTGCCTTCTGGGGCGTGTGTGATGTATGTCCTGCCGTTTCAAACGGCTTCGGCCTGAGGACCCGTGAACTTGTGCGCCGTCCGTACGTTAATCGGCCCATAGAACCCTCCCTGAGCCGAGCCTGTTTTTAATCAGGTTGTCTGTCTTTTTCTTATCGAGAGGAGTCCTTCGCATAGTCTGGATTTCAGTTCTTCGTGGGATACGTTGTCCAACTCCGTGGCTTGCCTTTCCACTCTCCTGACGGTGTCTTCGGATGAACCGAAGCTTTACCTTTCAACGAAGTGCCGTCTATTGTATTTTTCTCCCCACGGTTAGTTTTCGGTGTCCTGTTGAAGAAAGTTCGCCTCCCCCAAGCTGCTGACTTTGTCCCCTGAAGCCTTTACCGTTTTACTTTTCCCATTTGTACCTGCGACTCGAATGGAACTAACTCTTCTGTGTGATCGTGGTACGAATCCAGACACGTTTTTCTCATATGGTTTTTATTGACTCAGCTCATTTATCAGGAAAAGAAAACAGAAACAAACAAAAAAAACGAGCATTCCCACCATCCCACGATGTCGCCTTTGTCCTAAGTCAGGGAAGCGTGTGTGTGCTGATCTGTTTCTAGACCCTTCTGCTGAGAGGTCATAAGCCCGCCCTTGCACGACGCCTGCATCGGCATTTCTGCGGCTTCGCAAGAGGCGGGCCCTGGCATTGTTCGTGTTCGTGACATGCACATGTGTCCGCCAGCCCAGTCACACCGGCGTTACCCGCGGAAGCCACTGGAAGCCCACCAGCGCTAGGACGGAGGAGCGACAGCCCACTTTGTTCTTCCTCTTCAGCAACCTCCTTCTTCTTGGCTGTTCTAGGCCCCTGGCACTTCTACATGAATTCTAGAATTCATTTGTCAATTTCTGCCAAAAAAGAAAGAAAAAGGAAGGAAGGAAGGAAGGAAGGAAGGAAGGAAGGACTGCGCTGGATTCACAGATTCGTTTGAGAAAGGCCAGGATCATCTCAGAGCTGTTTTCCACCCTGAGGGTGCAGCGGCTGGCTATTGACTCAGGTCTTCAAGCCTCTATGTCGATAACATCTGGCAACATTCGGCGCGGTCTCGGACGGCTTCAGATGCGTGCCTGAGCGGCTGACATTTACGGACACGCTTACGGAGGATATTTCTGAAACTGGTTTTGTGATGAGTGACATGGAACGTCTCCCGCCGTCCGTCTGCACGTCGGGTCCCCGGACTCCCGCGTGTCCACCCGCCTTAGTTCCTTTGCCCAGAGGACTCCGATCAGTTCACCTGTGCGTGCGGGTTGCTATGACAAGTTCCTCCAGCTCCGCGTTTCTGAGTAATTCGTGACGTCGCCTTCATTCTGGAAGGACGTCTCTGCCGCGTATGACACTCTGGTCGGCGGCTCTCGCCTTTCGGCTCTTTAAATACACGTCACTTCGCCGCCTTCTGGCTTCCACGGCGTTTGTCTGTTGTCGAGAAGGCGGCTGCCAACCTCCCGTCCCTTTCGAACCGGCCTGCCCTGCTTCTCTGGCTGCGTGAAGGTTTTTGTCTGTTTCCGGCAATTTCACTTGGACACACATGACCAAGTTTGTTTTCTGTTCCGCTAGCCTCGAGTTTCCTTCCGCCTCAATCTGTGGGCAGAGATTTTCTTCAGCTTTAGAAAATCCTTGGCCATTATTTCTTTGACTGTTGCTTCTATCCGTTTTCTGTATTTCTTCCTTCTGATTCCAATCATGGTGTCAGACTTTTGAGTATGACGCATGTCTCGTACACTCTGGACTGTCCCCTTGCCCATGTCCCCAGAGCCAGCCCTTCCACCAGTCTGCTCTGAGCACCTGCGCCTCCCTGCCCGGCCCCCACGTCACCCATCATCTCTCCGCATTTATTACTTCATCTCCCAGTAGGACACCCAGGGTTGGGCACCAGGGGAGCAGCCAGCAGCCACTGACCAGCTGGACCATGGACTGGACCGAGCACCCCCGTCACAGGATGCCAGGCTGTGGCTCACCCACCCACGCCCCCGGCTCTCTGGGACTACCATGCGCTGGGTCACGTCCCTGTCTGAGTTCCCAGCACCTGTGGCTCCACCTGGGGTTCCGTGCTCGCTGGGCTCCCCAAAAGGACCCACAGCACAGCGGGCACACCTGGCTGTCGTGCCTAAGGCCACTCTGTGCTGGGATGTCCCGCCGGACCCAGGAAGGGTGCCACAGGCGTCTATAGGGCCAGCACTGGACCAGCGGCCGGGAAGGGGGCTTCCTGCAGACCGACCATGGCAGGGAACCACGGCACCCAAGGTCACAGCCCAGCGAGGCCATCTGTCTGGGCCGACAGCTCGGAGAGGCCACCAGTGAGGGCTCCGCACCAGTTTAAAGTGAGGGTTTGGGGGAAGCTCAAGGTCAGGGATGCTGGAGGACCTGCTGCCAAAGGCCCAGGGGACTCTCAGGGCAGAGCATGGTCACCCAGGCCAGCTGTCTCCAAGCCCACAGAACAGCACAGACAGGGCCAAAGACACCAATGCCACCTAGGCCAGTCACCCAGGGACCACTGGGCGGGGGTAGAACGAGTGGCAGCATGGGGGGCGGCAGTGGGCACACAGGAGAACTGAGCACGTGACCCCCTAAACTAGTCCAAGAAAAGTTAGAGCCCCTGGAGCAGGTGTTGGGGGCATGTGGAGCAAACACCAGTCCCAGCCTGCGCCCCAGCCCCAGCCCAGCACAGCGGGATGCCCCCCAGGGCAGGTTGTGGGGCCCCTGGCACACCCCAAGCCACCCGTTCCACAGCCTCTCCCGTAAAATGGGCCCATCTGTCTAGTGGGGCCGTGAGAAGCCACAGAGAGGGCCAGCACAGGGGCGTTTACACCCAGGGGCTGGGTCTCCGCATTGCTGGCCACGAACACAGACCAGGGTCCTGTGGGGAAGGAACCGCCTCGGCCTTCGGAGGGGCTTTGAGGCCGCGAACCAGCACATAGGATGGAGGGCCAGGCTCCAGCACCGCCCGGCAGGAGGGGACTGGTAGCTGCCGCCCACCGTCCCAGAAAAGAGGCCAAGAGGCCGGCACAGGGGCTTCATCCTCTCCCCGCCCC